CAGACAGACAGACAGACAGACAGACAGACAGACAGACAGACAGACAGACAGACAGACAGACAGACAGACAGACAGACAGACAGACAGACAGGCGGACAAAGGGACAGACAGACACGCGGACAGGGATGAAAACATAACCTCCTGCACTGGTTCTTACCGATTCAGGAGCCTTAATGAAAACCTTGGTCTTTCCCATTTGCCATTGATCTCTCTCCATGTTCACAGAGTTCATCATATGTTCAATTCCCTGCTTTACGTTTCCTGACCAATGTGGCCAGGTTTCAGGCGTTAAGATTGCGTATCTACAAACAATACGATGGTCATACTAAGTTTTCATTTACCATATGAAACTAGAACGACCTCTCGTATTTGCCTTAAGTGAGGGCTTGGCCCATATCTATACGAACATGCCTGGTGATTGGTTGAAAATGAAATCATCTTTCTAAAGAACGAGTCATCAACACTGATCAACTTTGTTTGGGAAAGCGAAACAGAAAACATGTTCATATTAGGCAGAACACCAAACCACCTTGTAGACAGCGCACATTTAAAGTTGGTTTAAACTCTCAAAGTCTATATGATCACAGTAGGAATTTTGCATAGGTAAAACATAAGTTTTGATGGATTTGTAAGAAATGTTTAAGGGAACATTATTGTTTAACACATCAGTCAGTTTCCTCAAACATTTCATACAAATCTTCAAAACTTAGAATTTACCTATGCAAAATTCCTAGTGTGATCACAGAAACTTTGACAGTGTAAACCGCCCTTAAAACCATGCACATAAACTGTTATCCATGTTACCTCGTTAAAAATTTATCAAATTCTCTTCTGTAAGCAAAGCCAGCTCTCCTTACTCGGATATTTTCCTTCAAGCCCAGATACTCTACTTGATGTTTCACTCGATCTCCTTCCCAATCCCTCGCTTTCTTTGTTTCGTTGGGTTTAATACAACGAATGTAATGTGGGGTACACTTTGTTAACCTGTCCACCAACTGATTGGCTTGAGTCTGGAAAAACAATATTTGGTTTGAGTGTTTTCCATGGTCTTCACATGGTGGCAAACTTCAAATTTATTGGCATTTTGATGGCAAGTTTTTGCACTTTATGTATAGACTAACAACTTGTCAACAGGATATGTTCACACTGCTTGTTCCCAACTTGCTACAGGGCATGTCCCTAACCTGGGCATATGAGAAATTCTTATTCAAACACTCATTAATAATTCATAAGCTTATTGGCAAATCATGTCAACCATAATATGTCACGTGCAGTGGCTTTAAACTTGATAAAACACTCCTAATTAGTATTCTTTATACGGCAGTATCTATTACAGTCGTGTCCTTATTAGTATTGTTTATATAAAGAATACTAATAAGGCAGTATATCTATTGAATTTGTAGTCGTGTTTGAAGTCGTGTTTTATTAGGTCTAAAGCCACTCGTGCTGCGCGCTCGTGCTTTTAACCTAATAGAACACTCCTGCTCGTTTATTAAACAGTACTTTATGCCCAAAATATCTTTTAAAAGCAAATATTTGTACTCAAACCATAAGGAACATATAAAATGATTGCATTTATCTTCGTTGACAGTGTACACAAGCCCGTGTTTGACATACCTTAATTTTACTTCCAAGCGTAGTTGGTTTTCCTTTTCTTTCTCCTTGTGTATTTTCCGGAAATAATTGTCGAAGGAATGGAGTACTAGAAGACTGCATCAATTCAATCAAATCCGTAAACAAGACATCCCTGTTCCTTTCACAAAATCCTTCAGCTTCATAGGTTACCTAAACACGATATTATTTATATAAAAATTCTGCTATAAACTTACTATCGTCGAGCTTGCGGGCTTCAATCAGCTCTTGTGGTGTCGTGATCACCACACTTGCCTTTCAAGCTGGAAGATCTTTGGTCGGACCTCTACTCAAGGTCTTCACATAATTGAGGAGAAAGTGCTACTTTACATTGACATCTGTAAATGGTTGGACTTTAGCGTCTTCTCGGATAAGGACGTTAAAACTAAATACTATTGTGATTCAATCACGCTATAAAACAATCAGTAGCTAATTATTCATACCTTGCCCGCATAATGATGTATTGTAAATCCAGAACTAAAGCCATTATAATGTTGATGAGTGCTGATAGCACCTTCCAATTTCTATACAAATAAACAAGCACGAGTTTTGTATTGAACAACACCCAATTTCACAAATGCACTGGGGCCAGTTGTATAAAAAAGTAATTGAAGTTAACTACAGCTAGTGCAAAAGTTAGTCAATCAGAATCGCGTATGTGAGAGTTAACTACTATACGATTTAACTACAAAACGAGTAGTTAAAATGTAGTTAAGCCTTTTATACAACCGGTCCCTTAGTGTTCGATCAAGACTAAGATTTTGTTTACCTGAAGTAATTTCATGTCAGCGCCCTCTCCTTGAGCGTGCATGGTGGCACATACGTCATCCAGAATACACATGATACCTGGTTGTGGCCTCTGGAACAAAGAGAATAAGTGGTACAGTATTTTACCTGCTGTATTTTATCTGCATATCCATCTAAGCTGTATGAAAACGATCATATTTAGTATGCAACACACTTAAGTACGTACAATTTATATGTGTGTCTACCTTAGCCTCAATTAGATCACACACAATTTTGTTATTGAAGTAATCAATAGGTGTCCATTTGATGCCTTCTTGAACATATTCTTCCTGAAAGTTATGAACAAAATATCTTGTTAGACAGTTACCAATCATAACCAGAAATACCAATCATCATCACCACCACCAAGGCAACATTACCACCACCATCATCATCATTATCATCATCACGATTATCATCATCATTATCATCACCATCATCATCACTAGCATCACCATCACCATCACCATCATTATCATCATCATCACCATCATCACCACCACCATCATCACTACCATCATCATCACTACCATCATCATCATCACTACCATCATCATCATCACTACCATCATCATCATCACTACCATCATCATCATCATCACTACCATCATCATCACTATCACCATCACGATTATCACCGTCATTATCATCATCATCACCATCATCATCACTACCATCATCATCATCACCACCACCACTACCACCACCACCACTACCATCATCATCACCTCCACCATCATCATCATCACTGTACCACCATCATCATCACCACCACCACCACTACCACCACCACCACTACCATCATCACCACCATCACCATCACCATCATTACCATCACCATCCTCATCATCACTGTCACCACCATCATCATCCCCATAATCAATCATAAACCATCATTAGTAGTTTCAGGCACAACTACCACCACATTTATCAAAGTCGTACACAAACCTGTTCAGCTTTCAGTGTCAACTCAATAAAAATCTGCTGTAGTTTTTCGTTTACAAAATTAATACAAAACTGTTCAAAGCCGTTCTTCTACAAGACACAAACAAGTAAACAACACGAGTTAGTCGCAGGCGATCGATAAAAAAGAACTCACTAAAATAGCAACCGATAACAAATCATGTCACAAGTTAATCTCACCTCAAAAATTTCAAAACCATAAATATCAAGAATACCAATATTCATCTCTTCTTTGTCCGTTTTCATCGCCATGTTAACACGCTACAAAAAAATTTACAAAGAAAAATATCAATCATAAACAGTGGGTAGACTACGATGTATGTGCATCATTCATTCAACTTTTAATACCTTAACCAAATAGTCGAAGATTCTTGAATACAGAGCTTTCGCTAACGCGTCCCTTGTGTACGTTGCCTGTAGAACAAGAATGGTAAACTGCTGTAAGAATCATCTCAATAGAAACATAAATATTATTCGCAGGCTATTAGTGGCTATCACCAATTCAGAGTGTTCATGATTAAACATAGTTTGTCATGCTTCGGATGGATAGGGATTCGACGTTTTGAGGGCTTTCAAAATAACCCGGCGGCCGCTGGAGTTCCGGCGCGTGGCACGAAGTTTACCGCCGGTTACTGTGTTTAGTACTTGAATTATCGATTCTGCTCTCCTTCCTCCACTCTGAACTTTCAAACAAAGTTATTTTTCCTCAACTTGGTCCACTTTATATAGCCTGGTTACTTTGTAAAACTGATTTAGTTATTTGCCATCTTAAATCTTGAAGTTACTTTGTTGAAAAATGAAAGCAAGGGACTGGTCATCAAGTATATGTGGGGGTGAGCTATGGAAATTGAGGGGTCAATCAATTTTCCAAGTCTCAAATTTTAGACACCCCCTTCCAACAGCCGCCTACTTAATCAAAACAGACGCCTACTCTGAATAATTCTGAAAGCCCTGAGTCTACCTACACTGGCACAGATAATTCAGTTGCCATACCTGCTCAACATTTAATGTCATGTTAATGATTTCGGATTTGCCACCCCATTTGCTGTCCATTACACGACTAAAAAAACAGACATAATATTTTCCAACTGCCATTTTCACTCAATTACAGAGGTGGTTGGTTAACAAATTAGACCAAATTCATTATGGGAAACTCATTTTTGTGAAATCATTAATAATTCATGAAGAAAGCAGAATAGAAATCATGAGCGTGAAGGAGTTTGTATATCTGATACAGAAATCATACTGATTTTACATAAAAGTTTAATTTTCTCACCAAATAACATTCATTTATTTTAAATTATTGAACAATACGAATGTTCGCATCAAGACGCTTCGCAAGCCATTTACAACATTCGCGTCTGTGTTGTTTCGGATATACAAACTCTTGCCTTCAGCTTGAATTCGTATACCTGGTATACAAAACGGCCGCTCGTGTTGTAAAAAATACTTAAAGTTTTTATACACAACTATAGTTCCAGAAGATGCGTCATCTCATGAGGAAACAAAAACCCAGCAAACAACACTATACCTAATCAGCTTCTCCCGAAGAGCAGTACTTTCAATACCAAATAAATATGCAGGAAATTCTAAATCTGGAAATATAAAAAATATTGAAGCAAAAGTATACAACCTTCTTTTAGTTCATAATGGCTGGGGAACCTGTCCTTATCCAACAAATGATTAACAGTCGTGGTGTTTCCAAAACAATGAAAAGACAATGTAACATTCTGATCAATGGATGGCATTGAGAACAGTGGGATTTTCAAAACAATGAAAAGACAATGGAACTTTTGGATCGTGACTGGGTAACAGTATTGTTAATATGCCAAGTGTTATGAAACGCCCATTGATCTGCTTACATTCATCATTCTCTGGCTTGGCATAGTTGCCTTCCTCAACGAAGCAAACATTTCCCAAATGTAAAATACCAGCAACCAATTGAAACACTGTCGCTTGGTCTTCAAGACTGATGCCCATAGTCTCCATAGCCATCTACAAATATAAAGGGAAAAGATCTGATGAAGCTACCCAGTACATAATAAATTTAGTTCAGTTTAAGTTTCCTCCTGTAGTACTGGATCAATGAAAGATGATCCTTACTGAACCTGTATAGGATGAACAGTTTAAAACTGATAGCAGGCTTGGGCGGTGTACCTTTTTTTTCGGTATTATTTTAAAACCTTTTTTTTTTAGATTTTAGAAAAACCGGAAACCGTCTTACATAATTGTGCACAGTCATCGCCCGGTAATTTGACCATTTTGACCTTAATTTACGATCCAATCAATGCGCATTTTACGATGTAAATTTCATGACTGCTGTAAACGCCAACGTCGGTTGCGATCAAAAAAGGTTTCCGGGGCCTCTGCTTCACAGCCAAACGATTTTTCCGAGCCTGAAAACAACCGAGACTGAAAACTCCGACCCTTAAAACACCAACCCTGAAAACCCCCAGCCTGAAAACAACCGAACCTTAAAACATCAACCCTGAAAACCCCCAGCCTGAAAACAACCAAACCTTAAAACACCGAGCCTGAAAACAGTTCGAACTGATAGAGCTATCCAGTATAAATAAGAAGGACATGTTACCCTTGTTTCCTCATACTCTTTTTTATCGTCTGTTCCTTCAACCTCATATGTTCCACTTTGATTGAGATAAAAAAAATAACTTGCATCTGACACACCAAGCATTTCTGAAAGAAAAAAAGTTTATTACATTGGACATCCGTGTTGACTAATACGACCAATTGCTTACGCTTTTAGTACTATACCTTTATCCTCTGACGAACTGCCAGCGCATATCTGATAAAACACATGAAATGATCTTTCACCTGGATTTTGCAACACCACCCGAGACTAAAATATAAAGGAGAAGGCTTGATAACTACCAAGCATTGCCCATGACAGTTTATGAATTTCCATGTACAAAACACTTTCTACACTATAATAATGGTTTATTACATTCACTAAGTAGCTTGATAAGCTAAAATACAGTGATGTTTACAGTGATAGAACTTTTACAATGATAAAATGTAATGTAAAAAGTATTAATACTATGGTCTCTACTAAACTAAAGCTACTTTAATGTAAAAAGTCTTAAAACTATTGTCATATTTACAGATAGAATTAGATTATGTTAGTTATTACTCATTATAATATATAAACCCTCATGATTACTTATCAATATAAAGATTATATTTGCCAATTGCATATACAATTGGACTATGTTTAAAACGTTCTGTTTTACATGCAAAGTTGTAGTACGTTGCCTCATTCATTCTCGTCTCTCGTTGCTTTATTTGGAAAGTTGTCTTTGGTAAGAGGTGGTTAAGTTTATGATTCGAGTTTGACATGTCCTTAATAAGTTGGATACACATGTCATGTTAGCGTTTTGTACCTTTTCCAAGAGAAAGTTTGAAATCTTGCCTCCTATTGGTTCTCCACCTCTTGTGAACTGAATCTCAACATATTTACCCTGAATGTACAATAATGAAAAAAGAATTACTATCACAATCAAGACAAAATTATATCAAGTTTATATGTAACATACAAATCGACTTGAGTTATTATTTCTGACTGTTTTGGCATTTCCAAAGGCCTCTAGCAGCGGATTTGATTCCAGAATAACGTCCTTCACTCTCTAAACCAACAAAGCAATGAAATGAATATATACCTGCACGTTTTTCAGGCACTGTAAGGCTGGCTGACACTATCATAGAGTTTCTCTGAATACAGTAGGAATTTTGCATAGGTAAAATCTACGTTTTGAAGGATTTGTGAGAAATGTTTGAACTAACTGATCCTCTGTTTAACTGCACTGAGTCAATTCCATTGAACATTTCTTACAAATCCTACACAGAGATTTTTATAATGTAAACTAGACTTGATATACAGTCTATGCTAAACAACCACTCAAATATCTGCATTTGGCTATACTACTGTAAACTGACTGCATACCTTGAATCTAGCTAGCTTCCTGTGGACACTCCTTGACGTAGAAAATTAATAAACACATGTTATAAACTAAACTACTATAAACTGTACTGTACTCTGGTTAGCTTTGTTCCATCCTATGGCACATCCTCGTCCCCAGGGCATCATGCGTCCTCCCTAGGCCCTGAAAACACGGAACCACAACGGAAGTGCAAGAAAACTTGCAGTAGTTTCTAAAGCGCATGCTTTTGAATTGGGACACTTTAGCATCCATAACAATTTTCACAGTGAAGTATTACAAAGAAACAATAATTTTGCCTAGCAAAAACTGCTCAACTTCTGTGAAACAGCAGTTCTCTGACAAGCCAATCATATCTCTCCGGAAAAAGAAAGTCATCTAAACCAGAGCCTAATTTTCAATTCATGAGTGGCCTCTGGGTATGAGAAATTGTCCTATGGCAATGCTCACATTATCAGAACAGTTACCTGGACATTGGGACCACCACCAGACACTTTTGCAAGATAACTCATGATGAACTTTGCACTCACAGTTTTTCCAGCACCACTTTCACCACTAACAATAAAACATTGCTGCTTTATTATCAAGTATGGTGATTGTTAATAATTTGTGGGTTTGTGACCAATGGGTAGGGGAGTGGTTGGAGAGAGAAGATAGGTGGGTGATTTGTGGATAGGTGGGTGATTTGTGGATAAGTGGGTGATTTGTGAATAGGTGGGTGATTTGTAAATAGGTGGGTGATTTGTGAATAGGTGGGTGATTTGTAAATAGGTGGGTGATTTGTGAATAGGTGGGTGATTTGTAAATAGGTGGATGATTTGGGGAATAGGTGGGTGATTTGTGGATAGGTGGGTGATTTGTGGATAGGTGGGTGATTTGAGAGTAGGTGATTTATGAGGTTATATGCAGGTTATTTTTGGGTATAGTGTTGACCTACTGTATTAAAAGGTGGGTGGTTTTGAGGTAAGTGGCTGATTATGAGAAGTTTTGTAGTTTAAGATGAGTGAAGAGGTGGGTATCTTTTGAGTAGGGTGTCAACCTATAAATAGGTGGGTGGTTCCTATGTTAATGGGTGATTGCACGTGATGTATGGGTAGGTAGGTGGTAAATCTCATCTTGAATGTAACATTCCAGTAGACAAGTTGCTATTCCAGCCAAAATAAGGTTAAATACTGAATAAAAAATTCCCACCTTATAATGACACAATGACTTTCAATATCAATCAACATGTTTCGAAACATGCTGTCTGCCAGCGCATAAATATGAGGTGGATTTTCATATGTAGCCTGAATATACACAAAAATATAAAACATTCAGATATATGAAGAAACAACTGGACAACATTCAGCCACAATCCAGGGCTTCAATAATGTTCCCTAAGTCCCCGATTATGGTGATCGGCAGACTGACTATATTGATACAATCTCAACGAAAACTGGGGCCAACTTTTTGTGATTTTCGAATGGTTGCTTGGAGTTTTTGAGACCCCCCTAATGCATGCCTCTGATAGCAGATACATACAGCTCCTTGGTATTGATAGATTTCCTTCTCAGTGAAGTATGACAATTGTTTAAAAGGATTCACAGCAATAAGTACATCACCAATATATGTCTGAGCAAAATTAAGATCAAATACACACATTCTCATTACTAGAACCAATACAAATGGCAAAGTATAGCAATTCAAACTACCTAACAACAACAGAAGCATTGGGAAAATGTCAGAAATCTTTCTCAAATATACCGTAAACCTCCGAATATAATCCCTGGCCTTATCATGGGGGGGATTAGGATCTCTCTAACTCCCTAGAATCTCTCTAACCCCTCTTATAAAGTGTTCAACCCCACCAAAATTTTGCTTCACCCTCCTATTTTGTATGAAAGTCTTTAACCTTAATGCCTTAACCCTTGTGGAAGCTCGCTCAGTGGTGTCGCTTGCACCCCACCAGAAATTTTTCTACCCTTCCTTTGAAAAAACTGAAAATCTGCCCTTGGGCCTTATATTAATTTGTAAGCATTTTTTGATGGGCTTACATGGGATGGGGGCTTATAGTTATATACATACATCATTTGGTATTAGTAATATTTGTTATACCTGTAAACTATACAGTGAACAAAAAGAAATATAAACATACAATATATAACACATAATAAAACAAAGTTTGTTAACATGTTATACTGTACTGTAACTATCGTCACTCGTCTGAGCTGTTATAATCCCCTAAAACACACTATCTATACTCACACCCACTTTTACAGCAATCATGTATAATTAACATTCCCTAATTTATGGAAATGTAATACACCACAACTTATTAAACACCTTACTATTTAAGTAACTATAAAATGGAATGCATTCACAGAAAATTTAAAATACATTAAGATTTAGGCAGACATGAAAGTGAAAATCAGTCCTATATATGAACTTGAAAAACAACAAAATACTTCCAGCCAGCAAAGTTCCTTGATTTCCGTCTAATCTAATCATTAGTTAATCATTGTACAAAATTGTAAATAATTAAACTTAAAACAAGTGAAATATGACACACAAACATTTTCATTTCATGTCCACACGGGTCTCAATTATAAAACTACAGAAGGATACATAAATAAGATCGTCCATAAAGCGTTTCTTCAGATTTTCAACGATGGATGATTCTTGTATTTTGGGCAATAGGACCATATCTTCGACCCCACTAGACTTCGCCGTCCCTTTACTTTGCCAATGGTAGTTAGCCTAAAATTGAAGATAGAAAGCATTTTAAATCTTCTTTCACAATGTGTAATCAATTACAAATACTGCAAGTGTTACGCGAATCGATTTGGGGCGAAATTGACACATCACGCTTGAAAAATTGACACAGTGTGTTGTGGGTGAGGTATCTGAAATTAAACTTCGTTTTATGCACAAAATAACATGTATTTTAAAAATAAAATAATACTTTACCATTGTGGAAGGCCAAGCAAGCAGCTAGCGGTGTTCAAAGAGTTTAAAACGACGCTAAAATTGATCAAAAATCACTTAACATTTTCACTTTTGGTCAATAACATCAGAAGTTTAGTGGCGGAAGTGAGCTTGTACAGGAAGCAAAATATGCCGCGGAGTGTATATATCATGCCATATTTGGTTACATTATAACCCGTACCATATAGAATATTAAACGGATATATTAATTAAAGCAGGGAAATATTCTCTATAGGGCGTACTGTAGCAACGAAATTGGCAAGACAAAGACCACATATTCAATTTCAAGTGCCATCGCGAAAAAAAATTTATTCAACTTATACGTCTTTCCTTTTTCCTTGTTAAAAATTACAACTGTACCACGCTAATTAAAACAAGGGCTACAGAAGTTTTATTCGCCCTATTAAAAAGATGAGCTATATTCCTAGAAAGGGCCAGCAAGAGTTTTTAAAGTTCTTTAAAACTCCACGAAGAGAAACAGGAGCATTTTAAAATCTGTTTGTCTCCGCATAAAACCTGAAAGACTAAACAGAAACGCCCGTGGAAACAGGAGACGATTAGCTCAATCTACCCTATAAAGGAAATGACTAAAAAAGAGAGCTTTTTGTTGCACAAAGCCGGTGAAAGTCGCCTTTGAACACACGTAGTATAAATCTTACATGGTATCACAAGAATTAAGCCCGTTTCCACTCAAATTATGTAATTGGCCAACACAAATTTTCTGTCGGAAAAAATTTTGAAGTTGAAGATTTTCAACTTTTTAACAATGATATTTTCAGAAAATTTTCTGTCCGTGGAACTAGAGCCTCCACCTAAGAGGCATTAGTGGCGAGGCCAGTATAAACCACAGAATGGGGGAAGCATATCACCCCTCCCCCCCCCCTCCCCCAAATAATTGTGAATAATAAATTTCAGAAGAAAACGAACGGTCATAAATCGTATTTTTCACGCAGAATTTGATGAATAAAAGTTTTCCTGAAATACGAGAATATAATTGGATTTCAGCCATAACTGCACCTAGAGACTCACGGGTAATATACCGCAAGACTTGACAGCTCTACCTTGTAGCACAATTTGCTGCAGTTAGTGTGCAGTTGTATGTATTTAAGGTTCCGTTCACATCAGAAAACCGCACTAAAAAACAACCTCGTATTGCACGATTTTGACGAATCTAACCGTACTAATTCCCGTGTGAACAAATAAAGCCCAGACAAAATTTGCCCACTCCCGTGTGAATGTCCCCTAAAAGGAAAACACCCACAACTCGCGGTCAATCGACCCCCACACTCATTATATCATTCCAAATAATCATTATAATCCCCCCCCCCCCCGTAATTCGCGCGGGCGTACCAGCAGGGGGACTGGAACAACAATTCGTAAACGAAAAAAGTATCCAAGATGGCCGAAGCTAAACAAGAAATTGAAGGAGAAACCGGGTGGATTCCGGCAACCAAAAGGCCAGACGGTACATGGAGAAAGGCGAGGAGGGTGAAAGAGGGATATGTTCCTCCAGACGAGGCAGAAAAATACGAAAGTAAAGGAAAACAGTGGGTCAATAGTCAGTCTGGTGTAGTGCCAGGAGCGAGTGAAACAGAAACGGAAGCTAAATCGCCGGCAAAATTGAGTAAAAACCAAAAGAAAAATGAACGAAAAAAAGCAAAGAGGAAAGAGAAACGGGAAGGCGAAGCAAATGATGGTGATGCTGAAGATGTTACTACAGGAATATCTAGGTTTGATATGATAGGGTTTTTGCGTATACATCTTTTAAATTAATTAAAAGGTGAACAGTCGCGGCGAAAAGTGTTCTCCGATCTGCGCTCGCGATTTTTCATCTTCATCTTTGGCAGAAACGGACCCTTCATGATAAAATTAGTCTATACCAGAACTTTCACGATGTTTGAGGAAATCTCACTGCTGCGGAAATTCGATACAATTTTCGAAACACCGCAACGTCCAAACATCGTCAAATTTTCGCCATAGACTAATTTGAGCATGAAGATTTCAATTCTGAGGTTTATTGCGGATGAAGATGTAAAATCGACAACATGAATTTGGATCGGGGAATCGAGTGAACAGTCGCAGAAAGTATGGTCTGTTTTCACGCGACACTTGAATGTTTGTATTTGAGTATTTGTTTGTAACGAGTATTTGAAGGTTTCAATGGCTCAGCGTTAAATCAAAGTAAGGCTAGCTAAATGTGAGTGGGTAATCTGAATGAGCGTAGGCCGATCTTGTGTCTACGACTATTCATCTTTTAATTTGACGCAAAAGACCGGACGTTGATATGAATGAGACCGGATGTCTGGATTAACTTTGTTAATAAAATACATGGCGGTCAATAGTTCAACAACAACGTATTCGTGCTAGTTGTCTAGTATTGCTCTGATCAAAACTACAGATGGACATTCATCAAGAAAGACTGATGGAGAATCGGTCTCGTATAAACAGAAACTATCCAAACTAGCGAGGCTTTCATCACGCCACACTTCAGTACACGTGGAGGGCACTTACACAATGTCAAAAGAATCTCATTAGAATCTCATTACTCGTGCGATATTTTTCTCGCGTGGGCAACGAAATTTAATTGCTTTACCCGCGCAAGAAAGTTGCCAACACGTTCAACGATTTTCTCATTTGAACGTAAGATGAGTGCATAGCCCGAGGCTAAATTCATGATTTCTTGGAAAAATTTAGCGCTCTTAATTTTAGACACACGTTTCAAAGTTTGATCAAATAAATATTATGTTGTCAATATAGACCTGAAGATCCTAATATGTATTTAAATAGGTCTTAACATCAATGTCATGGTTTTCTATTTAGCACATCGCTGACAGAGAGCATTGCGGGCCAAGACACGAGGATAGATAGCTCGACGACACTGGACAGCGAAGCAAAAGCAAAGAAACTTAAAAACTTAAAAAAGAAAATTCGACAAATCGACGAACTTCGGGCGAAAGTTGACAGTGGGGAACTGAAAGAGCTGACGGTACATCAAAAAGAGAAGATGGCGAAAAGAGAAGGGTTTTTAAACAACCTCAAAGAACTGGAAGCGGTTTAAATAACTGAAATTTTAAAGAAATTTTAAGATTTTTATGTAAAGTTTTAAAATTTGTTTCCAGTAAAATACAAGATATCTAACAAATGGCATTATAAAAACTGCTTTAATAAAAATAAGTCCAACCTCTCCATATAGACCCATTGCACTGACGTCACAAATCCTTAGAGTGCCCTCCAGATGCTCCCTAACAATATCTGTTCGGGTACAACAACCACATACAGCGCAAAAACTAACCATTTTAATACAAAATTATTATAAACTTTTACAAAATTTACTTCGTTTACAGAAGTTATATTTATGCATAGATTGCAAATTTGTCCTCCAGATACATCGTCACCGGCGCCGTGACGTCATGTGCAATGGGTCTTTTAACACCTCTCTACAGCGGATTCTGGCGTGCCCATATAAGGGAAGTCCAAGTGAGTATGTATTTGTTCGCTGGTCTATGGTGCCGGACATTGTGATAATCTTCAAACTCGCCACAAGACAATCTCTACTTGCAAAACGCGTTTGAAATTTTTAAGCAATAAGTAAATTATATGGCAAATAACTAAATCAGTTTTACGAAATAGTACGTCGTTTTTGAAAATAACCAGAGCATGTTGAAAAATAATTTTGTTTGAAAGCTTATAGAGTGGAGGAAGGAGAGCAGAATTGATATTTCAAATACTAAACAAAATAACCAGAGGTAAACCTTGTGTCGGCCGTCAGCTTATTTTGGAAGTCCTGAGTTTCAATCCTATTACGAAGCATTATTTTCGTATGGGCGTCATATGCTTTCATCTTTCCACTCTCGCCATTTTGTGCGAAGTTGTTCTTTTACCGTATTTTGTTCAAAAATGTAATTTATACTGTCATAACTTAACTTCCAAAGATCCAGCTTACTCAGAGAGAATGTCTTGGCAACTAAGAGGTACTCATCTGAGAGAGACGACATAAATACTCCCTTATCATCCGTCTGCAATAGTTAAAAAACTCATTTATAATTCGTGAGGAAAAGGAAATCACTGTCGTGTCGATGGTTTTACATGTGATAAAAAATCATGTTCATTTACATAAACCTTAAGCCTGCAGCACACGAGAGCTATCTGCTGAGCCAAAAGTTACTTGTGCCTGTTAGCTCAGCCGATAGCTCACCGATCAAACATGTTTGATACGCGAGAAAAGGTTGCATGAGGCATAAAACTCAATAAAACTGAGCTAACAGGCACGAGTAACTTTTTGCTCAGCAGATAGCTCTCGTGTGCTGCAGGCTTTAGCTTTGATTTTCTCGGGCTCAGACAACGTTGATTTTAAAATTACTTCGCCAATGAACTCGTCAGATGGGTCGTTTTTTAAGCCATTTAAAACACTCGTAGTTCGTGCTTTATCAGATATAAGATACTCGGCTGTCACCTCGTGTTTCATATCTGATAAAGCACCGTTGCTCGTGTTTTAAATATTACTTAGATCATACAGAGGTAGTAAATTACTTACACATATCACAACAGGATGATCATTTTTCCTCCAATCTTTAAAATGATGATCTGCATACGACTTTACTGTACGGCATTTGACGTTGGAACTAAGACACAGCTCTAACGAGAAAAATAAAAAGTAATGCTTTTACAAACTTAAGGTACTTTTACAAATGGCAAAAACTTTGTCACGCATTCAAATTTATGTTACCTAACGGAATCTTCGCTTGTAGCATAACATCAACCAATTCCTGATCTCCACCCTTATCAGGATAAATACATGTACCATGACCTATACGATCTGGAGAAAACTCAAGTAGCGTCTTAGTTTCGACAATGTTTGGGACCTACAGAAAAATTGATACCATTTTAATAGGTGCACTACCATCCATCAGAAGGTGGTCAATCTGCAGTTACCAGAGTCGGGAAAATAAACTTAATCCTTTTCATTATACGAGAGTTTTTATTTGGTGGCAAATAAATATAACTGAGGGGGGTAGTTTAGTTATTTTGCTCCCACAAACGACAACATTTCTGCAGTTGATAATTCTTAATAAAATCTAGTACAAGTGCAGTGATTTGAAAGAAAATATATGCAATTATTATACCTCAGCTACATGAAAAGCCAGTTTCAATCCAGCAGATCTTGCTCTTGACAAACATGGAATAAATTCAGCTGCATTGCCAACCTGCATCAAGTAATGTGAAGTAGTAATAAAACCAAAAACAGCAAAAGAACATCACCGCGAATTGTGATCGAATATCATGGCAGTTTTAAGAGTTTGGAGTTGGGGCACACTCTATCCCTATCAATCCAGCTTTGTTACACAAAGGCCATCTTTCTTACTTTAGGATCACCGCTTAGATCAACACCAACAACCAATCCATCATATTTGTCTTTATATTCAATAGCAAGCTCTACTGTATCTTCTGCTTCACACACACTTTGACGACGATCAATAGACAATAAAAACCTTCAAGGCATACAAATTTGCACATGTTGATCAGATAGAAGGTCATGGAAATGTAATGCATGTGCACTGGGAGATATTGAAAGCTTCCTATTTTTTACCTGACAACAATGTCAATTTTCTTTGTTGTTTCTAGGATTGCCTCAAGAATTGTTTCTACATATGATCTTTTTGTGATTTCTGCAATATGAACACATACATTGAAAACCATAACATAGTTGATGTACTGTGTTCTTATTACACACAATTTAATGGCAATATTCCACAGTCTGTGAAAGCTAGGTCACATGGTTGAGGACAAACTGATAATACTCCACATACTGTTTGCTTCATTTGCTCGAGGTGTGCTTCTTAATTCCAAATAACAAACACCGTCCTCATGGAACTCGCTAACAACATCTCGAGTCACCTATATGAGAAAACCTACACTAAACTTTAATTAAACTGGATAGTTCTATGTTCTAAACTATTCCCCCTTGACATCCCTTACTCATCCAGCATTAGTAGATGCAACCTGTGGTGTTGGTAGACTCAAACTGAAGTTGCTCTTCTTTGTTAATGAGAAGGAATTGTTAATAGATGAAAGTATACTGCGGGAATTGAACAATGCATATTTAAACCATACTGCCAGCAGAAATACAAAGAAAACAATTGGGCAGAGCAGAACAGTCTTTATCCACACCAACTCACCATTGCTAAAGATTGAAGATCATCAACTAAAGTATGAACAATCTTGAATATCATGAAACCTCTAAGAAATTTGACAGAAAACTTTTTTTACAGTACGTAATTCAGGTTTCACTGAGTACTGGAACAGTGCAACCCATGGTCAACTCGTCAAAAGTATATACTGACTGTTCTAATGTCATTTTCTTGTCTCCAGCCATGCAACACTCCCATTCTTTAGGGACATCAAAACCATCAACAGTCCTTGATTTTTTGTACTCTATCAATTTCTGTATTGTACTTGAGCTGATGGAACCATTGAGGTGAGCATGCAGCTCCTACGGAGAAATTTAAAAAATCAAACAGTCCTTACTGACCTACAACCCATAACCATTCCGAGACGTGAAGCTGCAGCCTGTTCAACTATGCCTGCCAGCTCCCCCACTCCTGTGAGAGCTTTTTCACAAAATATATTTTAACTGAGTGCATCATACGAAACTATTTCCTTATAACTTTCCAGAACACTAAAACACCTTTCACATTAGCAAGAAACAAAGTATAATTATAAACAATCACAATAGTACTTACGACTTTTGGAAGAGATTTCGTGAAAAAATGGTCCGCCATTTTGAAAACTCCGACACGGCCCGCTCTCTTCAAAGTACTTCATGTAAATACTAATTGAGGAAATGACATTGCCCGAAGAACGGTTTATGAGCAGAAGGCGGCAGCACGAGTGGGCTGATTCATAGTTACAATTCAATATATGGCCAAGCTAAGCCTGCTACTGTAGGTCGAGGGTAGGGTATTGCTATTAGGATGTGTGACCCTGCTGAACCATAGTCCAGAACACAGACTAGGTGTCATGTTTGAGCTACGTCGTAATTCAACACTCAGCTAGAAGGAAATATGATTAGCACATATTTTATAATACAAATCTATATTTATCATATTCTCAAATATTGTTTTGAATAGCTGTACGTCAAAATATCGATTGCATTACTTTAATAGCACTAGCTAAAATACAAAAATAAAATATTTATCTTGAATGACAAAATTCTATAGTTCCCTAATTTTCAGATATACCTATATTTTGCTATGGTCTTTGCCCAAGGTGCAGTATTATCGTTTTATGTTACCGAAGAATGATACAAAATCCTTGCCCGACCACAACGTACGCATGTTGGCCAAGCGATCAATCTTCATCCTCACCAGTTTAAAAAGTCTGCCAAGGCCCAAGTGCCACATTACTAACATATTTGCATGTTCACATGAAACTCCTCGGAATAAATTCTTTTTGAATATGAGACATGTAATGGCAACATTCAGCATCGGCTTCTAGGGGCTGTTTATATGAACTTGGCTAGTATGCAATCCACCATAAGTTACTTCTCCAAAACTGCCTCGTTCTTTAAGATCTCCTACTTATTTTTGCTCATGAATGATCTAGTTCATGAATTAAAAGTGTCTTTAGTAAATAAAATAGGGTTTATCAAAGAACGAGGCAGTTCTTTAGAGAACGAGGCAGTTCTTTAGAGAACTAATTTATGGAGGTGGTGTACTTCAATTGATCCAAATCGTCTCACGAACTTTTTCCTCACCATAAAAGATGGTTTCAACATCTTTATATTGTTACTGGAATCAAAGTAAGCTAATTCAACCTTGAAATGTTATTTTGGATGTTTATTGAAGCCATGATAAGATTGAAGCCATGATAAGATTGAATCATCCCGTCCGGTTCCAAATAAACAGGCCTTAGTGTCAATACTTCACCACCATGTATGAAGCACTCTATAAAATTTGTCACCGAAACCGATCTTCGCAGACAAGTGAATAAAATAAATATGTTGTTCAATTTTCTCGCCGCTGTTAATGTCGCCATTTCTGAACTTGGCCGCTATCTACATTGCCGTAACGCTCAGCGGCTGATGAACGTAAGGTGATTATCAAAATACAGACGATGCTGTAGTTCTAAGCAGTGATATAGCAGAGGCATGAACAGGGTTACATGGGACGATCTTTACAGGGAGATCCCAGGTCATTGGTTCAATGTCTAGAGAGGGAGGAGCGACCATACACACTTCAGCTGTGTCGTGCTCGTCTGATGTTTCAATTTGTTGTTCAGAGGTGGAGAGATAAAACTCGAAATGCAATCTCCATCGTACATCCACTATAAACATAAAAAAAGTTTAGGTTATTATACTTTTTAAATACTCAGAGATATAATGTTTGTGATGTTACTCTGAGTGTATATCCACACCGGGCGAGCTTGAAAAATATGCCTGGCCACGGTGGGAATCGAACCTACGACCTTTGGAATACTAGCCCAATGCTCTGCCAACTGAGCTACGCGGTCAGGACGGTTCGAGTAAGTGATATTTCGGAACAGAATCTAGTTCCTTCGATACCAATGTAATCTAGTGATATGATTTTTTTTTTTTTACACTCAGAGTAACATCACAAACATTATATTCACCTGAGTACACAACACCAGCACAGAAAAAAATCATATCACTAGATTACATTGGTATCGAAGGAACTAGATTCTGTTCCGAAATATCACTTACTCGAACCGTCCTGACCGCGTAGCTCAGTTGGCAGAGCATTGGGCTAGTATTCCAAAGGTCGTAGGTTCGATTCCCACCGTGGTCAGGCATATTTTTCAAGCTCGCCCGGTGTGGATATACACTCAGAGTAACATCACAAACATTATATTCACCTGAGTACATAACATCAGCACAGAAAAAAAACAAAAAAAATAACTCAGAGATATATTGGTAGTGTGTATATATCAGTGGTTATACCGTACAGGCAAGACTGTAGGGAACATATGGAGGATCATTAGTAACAAAACCTTCGTTGGTAGGAATGAAACTAGCTGAAAAATACAAGGAAAAATTCGAAGTTTCTAGCGAAGGTCCTTGTATTTTTCAGGAAGTTTCATCACTACCAACAAAAGTTTCGTTAGTATTGACATTACCTACACTGGCACAGACAGTTCAAAGAATATTAGTGGAATAATATTTGACAAATGGATGCCAATGAGATTGAAGACACAGGTGTACAAAACGATGGTAAGACCGGTGATCCAATATCACGCTGAGACTTAGTGAATGAAGAACAAGTGAAGAAATTGGAAGTGGTGGAAATAGGGAAGTATGAAGAAGAGAGAGAATGAGAAATGAAGACATGGGGAATTGAAGATGGCGGAACTGAGAGAGAAGATACGAAAAAGTAAGATGGTATGGCCAAGTCAAGAGAATAAAGGTAAATGAGATGGGCTACAGAGTGTAGTAATACTCCACCATGTTATCACATACTTACCTATATCAGACTTAAATTCCGGTGTAGCTGTTATAGGTATTGGTAGTTGAACTTGTATTTTCTTTGAGTAAAGACAGAATTCTTGTTGTGTTGAATACGATGTATGACTATGTAAATGTTTTGATGAAGTTTTCTTGTATTCATCGCAGACATGTTCCTCACTCTGTAGAGTTACTATTAACTACAGAAATAGAGAAGATTGGATAATGTCAGAGAAAGAAGGTACTCATTTTGAAAGTACTCATTTTGAAAGGTATGGTCTGTGCTTTATCAAATATAACACACCCAGCTGTCACCTCATGTTTTATATCTGATAAAACACTTGTGCTTGTTTTTTACTAAATCATCTTACCAACAAATAGACAATATTTATATATTTTTAAATAAAAGTTTGTACGACTTCAGTTACCTTTGTACATTTTACTTTACATTCCCTAAAGTCAAAAATTCCTAAAATTTCATCTCCTATTCTATAAGCTGACTTGAATAAAATAAAACATCCTACAAGACCATTTTTGTTCACCACATTATAAATATCTGCAAGAAAAAAACACAAGACATTCAGATGTGGAAATACATGCTTCCAGAAAGTATGTCACATCAGCTTGGCTACAGGGCCTCATTTTCGCGATTGAGACGTTTAACTAATGCCACATACACGAAAGCAAGGCTCTGCGGCCAAAGTGGCATACTTTCTGGAAGGGTTATCATTGCTATGGTGAAGCAGATGGTGTCAACAGCAGTTATTCACTTACATTGACTTTTCTTACAGGTTATTGTGGTCAACTTTTCTACTGCAACATCTAACAATGATCTTGTTTTCATGTTGCCATTTAAAAATGGATTGGACGAACATTCATTGAATGAAGTATAATGACGTAACTCTTTTAGTCCTAAAAAATACATATTAATTTATAAACTAACTTTGTTAATGAACAAGCTTTCATTGGTAAATTATAAAGAGAATTTCGACGTTTCGAGCGAAGGTCCTTCATCAGTTCTACACTGTTCCCCCCAAGAGGTGCATTACCCCAGAAAATTTGTATACAAGGAAATCTCATATAGCACAGCAACTTACCTTCCAACACTAATATTCTCACAGGCAGTCGGACTAATTGTGTACTTGACTGCAATCTACCAGCTCCAACAGTTATTTTATAACAATATTTTACAGCTAAACCTTTGTACGATGGTGGTGAATCAAATGGCACTGCATCCTCATAAAAGTCTAGAATGTATACAACAACACAAGTTAACCAAATGAGTGGCAGCACTCTCCCTTGACAAGTAAGATTGTCTGGTATTAGACAGACTAAAAGTTCAGTAAAGGCCATCTCTTGTTGATCCAGCACTTGTTACTACAGAAGCATATCCAGACTTAGCATGGCACCATTAAATTATTGTATCGAAACGCTCATATCCCGAGTGAGTAAATTAATACAAAAAATATCCCGAGTGAATAAATTAATTGGACATAAAGAATATTATCAAACATTTTGATTCTACATACATGATTTAGATTCACCAGCTGCCAATGTTAGGTCACAAAATAAAATCTTTGGTTTTGTCGATAGTAAGCAACGACCACGCTCACCTACGTATAAAAATTAAATTGCAACACAAATTAAAAACACAGTAGTCTGGGTGGCAGACAGTCAGCCTGCCGCAGAACACCTAAAAACAGGCGAGGTGAAGGAGGTGCCTCACACATTTTTATGTGTTCCACAGTGGACGGACTGTCTGTAATGCAGGCTAAGAATACAGTTTAGACAGAATCTCTGTCCTTGAATAAAGGGGCAGAAAGAAGCTATGGGCAGGGAGAGGGGTAATGTGGGCTATAGGTTTTCAGGGGGGGGGGGGTTGCATGTTTTTAGGAGGTCACCATTTCCCCTCCAGTAACAGTCAGATATCCACTCATGTTCCCAAGATTGACTCATTGTCATGACTTTTCTTGACAGCAGAGGGGGGGGGGGTGCTGGGGGATACACCCTTCCCCTCAAAATATGGTTTTAATCTGGGTAAATTTTCAAAATCATATATTCACAATTAACTTTTAATGGAATAGCCAACAGCATTGAAAGTCGATTTGTTTTGAGCTGATATACATATACAGACAAGTAATAATATAAAAAACCGTAATAAACACATAATAAACAGTCAGGAATGAATGAAATGTCACAAACATCTAGAAAGCCCTCCAACAAAAATATTGGCCTTTGAGACAAACTACGCATATCTCCCCACGACAAATGAGAGAAATGCACAAATACAAATATTTATACAGCTAAAAACTAACCTTTCGACGGCATAAAACACGTAGTAGCATCTTCGTTTTTATTGACCGACTCGTGCAAACCTTTTTGGTCATGTTCGGGAATTTTAACGCGAGAATCATTGATAGTGCACTGACAATGTATTTGAGCGCTAGCCCAAGCTATAGTCTCTATTCCCATAACTTTCTTGCGACTAAACTGTGAAGGTTTTACGTGGTTTGTGCGCGATTCTTGGCCGCTCGTAGCTCCACGTTTAGCGGTGTTTGTAAAAGTGATTTGGCAAGGTATTGTTTCGCCGGCAAGATAGACCGAGCCACGTAGCAAACGCACTTCGATTTCCACCATTATTAAAGGCAAAAAGCCTCTACTTTATAACAAACCCATCCACAAAGTGTGCATTCGCCAAAAATCATCACAATAAACACATTTAATGAGCTTTGATTTTAGTATCAAATTACAACATTCGTCCGCCATCATAACAAGGGGATTTTACTCCGATGGGAGAAAAATACCTACCCACTGACTGATAGTAGCCAACCTGGACTGCTCGAATGGTAAAAAAATAGGTACACAAAACGTACAAGAATGGACCTTTTCAAACATTTTTACGCCTTCTTGAAATGCGATGCATTCTGGTACACACCTGATTTAAAAAATAGGTACAAAAGCGTACAAGAATTAAGCTGAGTCAGCTGAACTTTTCACAAATTTCAACACCATTTTCAATTGTGATGCATGAAAGTAAAACTAACTAAAATCAGCTGGCATGCAAAAAATATTTTCACAGTTCAGTACTCTTTCAAAGTACTATCTTTTCTCAAAATTGTTCACCACTATTTATAAACTAAATATAATTTTAGAATTACATTATGTACAAATATTTTATATCAAAAGAATTGTACAACTTTCGATGCTCTTTATGACTTTCTTGTAATTCTTAATCAGGTCCACCTTGCTAAAAAGAAAAAAGTCAAATTTGATGTGTCATAATAATAATAATGTTTTATTGTTAAAATGGAATTTTTTATGAAATACAAGTAAGGTCAAAGCCAGTGGCATTTGCTGCTAATTCTAAGGAGAATACCTCTACATAGAGTATTTCTTCGGGCAAAATGGCTGCCCTTCTGTATCTAGTTGGTAATTCTGAATCATCCACCACACCAATGTTATTTATGCTCAACTCATTGTTATTATTTGATATTCTTGTTTCAGGAGCAACAGTACTTGGTTTCCCAGACAAAGTTGAGCTCCCTAAAGCAAAAATGATATCTGATTTCATATAACAAAATATCTTATCAATCCCAACTCTACTATACATCAATGCAATGTTAATATTTTTGTATTGTATAAGCACAAAAACACATAAATACTCAAAGTTTATATATTGTCAATAATGTCAATTTAATACAGTCGATATTGGATTGTTTAGTGAGCTATAAAGCACTATTCAAACAATTTTGGTTGAATCATTCTTTCTCAAACTATTCTAAATATGATGTCCTAAACCCTTACCTAGTGGAAATCGCGTTGGAAAACGAATTAACGGTATATGTGGCCTCACAGTGTGCAAACCTCTACAACAAAATAAACCTGCCATTTTGAAATATAAAATATTTTAAATTCTGTCTTCGTGATATAATCGTACACTTTCGCGCTACAGCCGCTACCGGATATACCACGAATGTGTAACGACAATTTCCGAAGCCGCCATATTGGTTTCATAAAAATCAGTTAAAAAGTGAATGCACAGAAAATATTATTGATTTTGTATAAAATTTAGCTGATTTTTTCGCTCGTTTCCAACGAAGATGCTTCGTACTATCGTGTGGTTCGGTGCTGGTGGGTTTTTCACGTCCTGTTTTGCAAATGCAGTGCGCAGAATTCCAGCTTTAAAGAAGCCAAGTTTTCATGCAGCCGCTATTGGGATTGGTGTATTGATCGGCTACCAAGCACATCTCTTCGAGTCCAGCGCTGAAAGCAGATATAAGGACATGTTGAAGACACACGAAGGCCTGCCGTTGTATAAATATTTACTAGCAGAAACAGCGATAGAAGAGGAATGACAATATGGCTGAAATTTTATGATCAAAGACAAAGTGCACAGAAATCTCAACTATTCATAAAAAAAGATACTAAACAATGTTAAACATTGACTGCAAAACATTTTATTGACTGCCCAGCATCATGATTGTAGCCAAGTTATTGTGTAGTGTTTTATACTGCACAGTCCTTTGTAATTGTAAACAAGTGTTGTTTTGTAAACAAGTGTTGTTTTGTAAACAAATAATGAACTTTAAAGAAATGAAGTGCATAATGGTGAAACTAAAGGAATTATTATTAAATACATGCTTCCGGAAAGTGTCTCGTCTTGGCCATAGAGCCTCGTTTTTGTGATTGACATGCTGTTATGTACATGAAAATGAGGCTCTATAGCCAAAGCGGTGTACTTTCCAGGAAGGTTGTATCATGAAAGTTTTAAGTTCTGGTCAAATGAAAGTTTATAAGACTGATAAGAGTTTGCTTGCATCCTTCATCAAATTTCTTGTGCCTTGGCTTGAGAGTTGGTTATATATTATCAGATGTCAAACGGGCAAAACTCTTGTTGATTCAAACTTTTAACCCACTCATAGTTGATGAGAGTGTACAAGTGTTTTACTATACTATATACTAATAGTATAACTAATACTAAAATTTGGTTTTGGATACCAAACTGTGAATGACTTATATCCCAACTGGTGAACTGGATACTATGAAAATTTTAAACATTAGGAAAATGTTACTCTGACGCACATGAGAGAAGCTTGCTGAGGTGACTCACCTTGCGTCGTGGCTAACTCGGCACGTTTCTCTTGTGTGCAGACAGTTTTTGTGAGGATTTAACCTCTTGAGGAAGATATCTATCGTGACATCGTGTTTGATATTTTTTCACCTCGTGAGGAAAAAATCTCGACGTCTGCGGATGTTGCAAGCAATGCTTGAATGAACCAGCAAATGAAAACCATAGTTTCTTTATGTGATTTGGTTAAAATAGAGACAATGGAGGGAAATGCAAATGATCTTATCAACAACATTGCTGTCGAGCATACGTAGTTTCCCAAAATCAGGGGAAAAGAATTTTCTTCCTGGGAGCACAACCTGGAGACAAAAATTTCCTGCAGACCAACGGAGTATTTTTGTGCTAAATCTGCATGTGCATAATGTGTCTGTCAACCATATGTTGTTGTGCCCATATTGGGACATGGGTGTTAGGGTTTCCTCTCAAATTTTCAATAGCAAATCTTCATTGAAACGAATTACCTGCAGCTGTTTATCATTTCCTGCAAGCAGTGCTCGCGTGCTCGCCTATTCTTTCCACCCCTGCCCACAATGTGCATGAAAATGCGTATCTGAGCTTCTAGTTTGTTTTGAGCCATCACCCTCACATATTCTATGTCTTACAGATCTTTCATTAACATTCTCTTTCCATGATAATGCAGGCTCTCCCCCTTTTCCCTCTTCTGCCCATCCATTCACTTTTAACTTCTGCCAACTTTTCATTGTCAATTACTCAATTCTCCGAAACACGTTCATACCATGAGTTCAATAGCACAATACATTGCCTACTATCACTACACATTTCAAT